TGGCCGTAATTGCTATTTGCATTTATTAACCGTCAGGCGTTTCTCACCCGGGCTTGTTGCCGAAATTTATCGACTTGAATTCTCGCTAGAACAAGAAGGCCGCTCCTTGAGAATTGACTTCGAAGGTTAACAGTAATTCGATCTGATTTTAAAGTTCTTTTCGCTTTTTAGAATAGTATCATTGAAGAAAAATACTTCGGGTAAGGCGTCGAATTTCCTCAGCTGTTACAGATCGGTAAAATTATTGGGTCAGTAGCTGTGGAACGATATTGGCGATCGTATCTGCGGCCACGAGTTAAATAGAAAGCGTGCTCCTGATGAAGCCGATCCTATTGTCGGCCGAGACGTTACGAAACCTATCTAATCGTTACGACAGTCTTGATGGATTATTGTATTAAACGCATAATTCGAAGATCATTTATTTTTCGCCCGATTTGATAAATAATCCCTTTTTAAGGCGACGTGTGCGGCTCAAATGTGAAATATCTCCAGAATAAGTTTTCTTTTTCTAAACCGTTATACACTCCGGTTAATTACAAATACAATTAATACGTGGCTCATTCAACAAAGGATAATCAGCCAGTCACGATCCGTGAATCGGATTTGAAATTGAGATTGTGTTGCGATACTTATTATCTTACTCTCGCATTATACTTTCACAAAATATTAACTTGGAAAAAGACCGATTCTGTTATTTTCTCCCCTTTAAACTTTCTTATTCTATACAGGGTGTCATTTTTAACATGCTCTAGCAGAATTTCCCTATTTTTTTTTTTTTTTAACAGACACAAAAAGTGACAAATGGTAACCTCCTTACATTTTCGCAGATTCCAAAACAGTCGACTTTTTTTTTAATGGGAACCCCCAAATTTTATTTTTTTTCTGAAACTTAAATCATTTTCTAGAAGAATACCACAACTTTGAAACACCTCCAAAATCGGCGAACCTAGGAATTTTCGAAAAGGTTAAAAAATTAAGGAAATGTCGTAAATAATGGTTAAACACAAATTTCAATTTCTTTGTTTTCTTCATGAGGTCTGTACATAAACATAATTTTCAGCATTGGAAGTATCGACCAATTTTTCACTCACGAACACTGAGCGTGGCATGGTTTTGAAGAAAAAGCAAATTTAGTTGTTACTGCCAAGGTTTCGACCTATTTTAAAATCATCATCAGGGCAAAACAATCTTAAACATATATATCTGTAGACAATTAAGACCATATCGTGATAAAAACTATAATCTGATAACTGCCTTCATTTTTAACTTTCATTAGGAAAGCAATAAAAATATTCATTATTTTAATGACAAAACACTGCAATAAAGATGTCTTCATTTAAAAGTGGAAATACTATATGACAAAATGTAATCAATATTTTGCGAAGGTTATTGTTTTGTTTCTTTAAAAAGGATCTAGAATCTAAAATTTTACCTGCGTAATATTCTCTTTAAAAAAATTATGTAAGTTATAAAATTTTACCTATTCCTCGTGACCCTTGTCTACAGATTGACATATTTAAGCTTGTTTTGCTCTGATGATGACCTTAAGATAAGTCGAAAGCTTGGCAGTAATAACTGAATTTTTTTTTCTTCAAGACTATACCTTGATCCAGAGTGTTCGTGCATAAACATAATAATAATTTTAAAAAACTTTAAACGCGACTATTTCTCAAAATAAAAATTAGTGAAATTGCTTACTTCAGTATAAGCAATTATCTGGGAACAAAAACGTACTTAACGATTATTTACGAACGAACAGAACAAATCGTTCAACTTTCAGAAGACCAAGCAGCCGAATACATACTTCTTTCAAACTATTCAAAAAATTGACGACGGTTTTGGAATTTACGCAAAAATATAAGGAGAGTTACCATTGGTAATTTTTTTGCATCTGTTCAAAAAAATTGGGGAAGACCTGTTGGCACACGTTAAAACACCCTGTATTTTGAAAAAACATCCAGGTGAATTTTGATTTATTAATCTCATTAAAACAGAACAGCTTAACAATTATTTATACTGCATCCTGTCGTACAACTTTAATAATGAACATTTTATGATTTGTCATGACTATAATGACATATTTTCCTAATGACCCTTTCGTTTAATATCTCTATAGTTACCTTCACACCGTGTCAATAAATAAAAATTTGATTTCTACACACGAAAGTTCATTTACGTTTTGTGTATATTTAAAAAGAAATTTCGAGTTAGAACTGAGGTATTAATCACAGCTTGACCTACGCCTACTATCGCTTTATCCCGGACAGGCAAGGCACCATCATCAACGGTTTTATGGGGAGAAATTGTTTCTTAATTAAAAATGAAATAGCCGACCGATAATGATGTCAAAAAACCGGAACGCCCCCCGCTTAATGAAACGACGAGAATAAACGGACCCAGAGATGAAATGACGTTTTCAACCTCTATGTGTCATATCGTAAACTCTGGCCGAAAAACGAAACGGGGGTCCGCTTAATCCCGTTCTTTTCTATAATACTAGTCCAAACCAAAAAAGAACAACTACAACGAATTTGTACTGGCGAGGAAAAAACGTACAGTTTAAACGGAATGAGATCGAAATCAGTATGACTCATGATAATTTCCTGACAATAATCGACGCGACGAGCATATTATCAAGCAGTTCATAAATATTTAGAATACTTATTAAATCCATTAGAATTGCTGGTCCGATCGTCCAATTAACTTTTTTCAATGAATCCTGATTACACGAATTTGAAAAAATGGCAAAAAGGAGGGAAAATTCGAAAGGTGGGGTTGAGATGGGAAGTTAGTGTCCGTCGTGACACTAGCTTTTTCATTTCAACCAAAAACCTTACATAAAAAGATTAATTAATTTATAAAATTAATTATATGAACTATCCAGCTACATATATTGGAATTACATCGCAGTATCAACAAAAACAGAAAAAACAACACATCTATGACTGCAAAACACCAAAAGCCAAACCCACAGCATTGGAAGCACTCCACTTTGAAAAACAACACAACTTTGATTTCGATAAATTAAAATAAACACGGAAAAAAACAAATACAAACGCAACTTTCTAGAAATTACAATTAATTAAGGTTTTTAGTTGAGATAAAAAAGTCAATGGCACGAGCGGGATTCGAACCCACGATCTTCGGCTAGATTCGCCGCTGCTCTACCACTTGAGCTATCGTGACCTCGATCCACTCCGACACTAACTTCCCATCTCAACCACACCTTTTGAATTTTCCCTCCTTTTTGCCATTTTTCAAGAAAACAATTTCTAGAATTTGTTTACATTAACAAAGACAAAAACAGCATTAATTACAGAACAGATACAGCTACGCCAACATCATAAAGCAAATAAACTATTAAACGTTAATTTTATTTAATTCATTATAATTCGTGATCCGATTGACCAAATAACTTCTTTCAATTAATTAATCTTTATGTAAGGTATTGGTTGAGATAAAAAAGTCAGTGTCACGAGCGGGATTCGAACCCACGACTTTCGGCTACGCCGCTGCTCTAACCACTTGTGCTCTACCAGCTTGAGGTTGAGATGGGAAGTTCGTGTCCGAGTGGATCGAAGTTACGATAGCTCTAGTGGTAGAGCAGCGGCGTAGCCGAAGGTCGAGGGTTCGAATCCCGCTCGTGACACTTACTTTTTTATCTCAACCTATACCTTTTATAAAAATTAATTAATTGAAAGAATTGAGAATACTGTTAAAAAACGATCAACCAAGGAAAAAAATAATAACCGATATTGGATTTTTATGTCATTTATAATCATAAATGAAAACAACAGTTTATCTATGATCCTTCAATTTTAACTTCTTTCTGCTCTTTGTGTGTGTGTAAGACTAATTACATTATTGGAAAATTGACGGGTATCAGGTAAACCGGTTATTCCGACTTTGAAGATTATCTACAAAAATTACGGCCAGTTTTAAAAAAAATCTAATATGGATTTAAAAAAAACCCGTTCCGACAAACACTGCAATCTAAATATCGCGTATGAAATTTGTAATTATTATAATCTTTTTTCTTAAATAAATTGTGTCTTGTTGGAACATTGTGTTAAGAGTGTTTATGCGACTTAATTTTCTATTCCGGAACAAAACCATTCATGGAATCAGGGTTTCATTAAGATTTTATGTTGTTTTTAACGTCTCTTAATAAATGGGTCATTTTGGCCAACACACTATTGATAATGTCGAAAAACTGAACGCATCTGTCAAAGAAGATGATCGGAAATGACCGATCTTTAAGATCATCACTGTTCAATAAAGTTCACGCGATGTTTTTATGAAGTTTAATCTTTAAAAATATGGTACATACGCGTGAAAGGCTAGAAAGAGAAGTAAAAACAGGCAGAGGGGCGACGATGACCTCAGATGGTCGTCGGCCCTTAAACTTCCCACATATTAGTATTATAAATAGGATAAAATCACTCGTACACTCTTGGTTTATTTAATAGAAATGGAAATAATAAATTTTAATCATGAAATCCTAAAACCTTTTATAATAAAACGTAGATGGAAAGGTAATTAAACGGAAACAATGGAGGCCTTGGTTGAAGTTTATGGGAAGTCGAAGGCCCAGTCGCACAGGAAATCGAAGCGACTTTCAAATTCCAGCTCGGATGAGAAAGCCAGTTTGGAAGCAGTGTAAATTAAATATCAACCGTCGTCCTACGTTAAATGTTGAAGAAGACGCGGTTGATGTAAAATGAATTCTGTTTTGTCAGGTTCGTTAATAAGGCGAGCGGGGGGTGTGATGTATGAGGCATTGCCTCGGCTCAATTCGATTCAACACGTAGATGTGAACTTGTCCGAGATCGTCTTGTTTTCTCCCAGATCGTGATCTGGGATCTGATGGAGATCGTGTTAACTCCCGACGACCCTGTGTAATTTCAATTTCTCGTTGAACTCGGGATTTCACCGTTTGGCATCTCATCTTCGTCAATTTGCACCGATTCATTACGTTTTTCGTTTTGTTTTGTTTACAGGCTGTAAGAGTTTCTTCAAAAGGAGCGTAAGGAGGAACCTGACCTACTCGTGTCGGGGGAATCGCAACTGTCCCATCGACCAACACCATAGGAATCAGTGCCAATATTGCCGGCTGAAAAAGTGTCTCAAAATGGGGATGCGCCGAGAAGGTAAGCTTGTTTCAATATGTTTATACAAATAATATTTTTGAATCGAAATATCAAATAACCCGTGTTGGCATTAGTACAACACATTCCCATATTACCACGTTACGGGTTCATGGTTCATAACACTTGCGATTATATTTGAGAATTATTTAAAAAAGTCACCTGAACCCTGACCTGAATTTTCAACAATTATTTTTTATACGTTAAGCCGGTAGTTAAACTTTGGGGAATTAAAGACGAGAACTTAGAAAAAAGGATCTTCGGTGAGGTCACAACAGAACGACAATTCTTTAAGTTTTTGCCTAGCTTTCGACGATTATATCGTCATCATCAGGGCCTATTTATTTTAGAAAAACATGGCAGTTAGGACATGTTATATCATTTAAAAACCAAAATTACAAGAACAATTATTTTTCCTACTTTAACTCGATGAGTGTTAAAATATATTCTTGAGAGCAAGAAACTGCATTTATAATAAGATTAATTAAAATTAGTTGAAGCTCAGTATATAAACAATTAAGTGTGGAATTAATTAAAAACAACACAATTAAAATTAAAAAAATATTCAGAAATCGTGAGGTGCGGTCTGTTGTGACGTAGGTTTTAGAAAAACATTTTCTTTATCGTGCCAACGTTTCGATCTTTATTGAGATCATCTTCAAGGCTCAAAGTGTTTGTCTTCTGTGTAATTGTGCCATTCTTGCGTCGTGTTGAGAGTGCCTACATCTCACCAGACCGCATCTCACGATTTCTGAATAATTGTCGATTAACGGTCACTAATCACCACACAATTTAAAATATTTAAAAAACCACAACATGGTCATAGTTTTTTTTTAATAAATAAAAAAATAAAAGAAATAATAAAATAATAAATAAAAAATAATAAATTTACTTTTTTCATCTTTTTACCCCGCAGTATTAAAAAAAAGAACTTCCAGATCAAATTTGTCGTTAAGTCACTTGAATAAGTTTAAAGCCACGGTTCGTTTGGCGATAGTCTGAGACTTTTCAAAAGACCAATTTATAAAATTTTAAAAAAACTATGGGAAAATAGATTATTCAGAAATCGTGAGATGCGGTCTGGTGTGATGTAGGTTTCAGAAGAACATTTTCTTTATCGTGCCAACGTTTCGGTCTTTATTGAGATCATCTTCAGGGCCTGGGATTTGCAAACATTGTTTAAATTTAACAACTACGTGTAGGATGAGGAAAAAAGTGAATTTATGCAATGCAAAATATATTTTTATACTCAATCAAGGTATTTCTACTCACTCAAAGTGTTTGTCTTCTGTGTAATTGTGCCATTCTTGCGTGTCGTGTTGAGAGTGCCAGTGAGATTTTGCTGTTTTATGTTTATATACGTTGGATTTTGAAGGGGTGGGGAAGGAAGTCGGTATAGAAAAAACATTTTTGTATAAGGCGTCGGCTCTTTTCACCTCAAAGAAGCTGGCCAAAGAAGGCCCTGAAGATGATCTTAATAAAGATCGAAACGTTGGCACGATAAAGAAAATGTTTTCTGTAACCTACATCACACCAGACCGCATCTCACGATTTCTGAATAATTATCGACTAACAGTCACTACTCACCACACATATTTCTTATGTTTAATTATAAGCTTTGTTTTGTACTTTCATGTCACTTATTTTGTAATTTCTTGCATGGCATAAATGTTCTTAATTTTTTTTGTGATATTCGTATTAGTGGATTATTAATTATTTATTTGACTGTCTTATTTTTATGCTTATGTGATAAATAGAATTTTTAAAATTTTTCGCACGGATTAATACTTTCTGTCAGACATATATAAAAATCCGTATTTTTTGAAATTTTAAAATATCCTGGAACGCGTTCAGGTTTTTAACTATCTTAATGGGCATTCACGACACGACACGCAAGAATGGCACAATTACACAGAAGACAAACACTTTGAGCCCTGAAGATGATCTCAATAAAGATCGAAACGTTGGCACGATAAAGAAAATGTTTTTCTTAAAACCTACATCACACCAGACCGCATCTCACAATTTCTAAATAAATATCTTAATATATGAAGTTCCATATTTTAACACATGAGGATCCCCCCCCCTGAGACTTAGAATATGGGTAACCAAAACTGTTTTCAAATAATAATTATGTACTGTTATAAATTTTGTGAGTGTTTTCTAATAACCTTCGAAGAATAAATCGATAGGTTGCAGTATATTACGACCGGTATCGCACATAAATCCAAAGGCTTTCGACCACAGGCATAAGCTCATAAAAATGAGTTTCATTTTGTACCTATTGAAATAATAGAAGGTGAAAGTGATTTATGAAATCTGCGCTGCCCTTTTATACTTTGACGTTTTGATATACTTCCGATCATTTTAAACAATACTCCACGGCATCCGTTCACCGATCGAAATTAAATGCAAATAAAAAATATAAAAGAAAATAATGTTAAATAAAAAAGTAAAATTTTTACGAGGTACAATCGCGAAAAAATACACCACCGAATTGACAGCAATTTGGGCGACGAAGGCCATGGCAAGATTCGATAGAGACAAATGACTGGCATTTGAAAATATATGGCCGTTAATAATAACAATCCAAAAAACGGCAGGGTAAAAAGGTAGACGAAAATTCTCAGTTCTAAAAAAATTGGATCTCGCTCTTACAACTGATTACACAGAAACCGCAGTGTGCAATTTCATAACGTCTTAAAAAATAATATGCTGGATTTCTCGCACCTCACGTCTAGTTCTAATTTTTATCGAACATAACCCCGCATATCTGACCTCGTGAGAACTACATGCGGATATCTTGTTTGTAAGAAGTCGTTTTTCGATCTTATCTTTTAATAATTCTCGAAGGTTCATACGACAATTACAAACATAAAATGGAAATATATGGAAAAGAAGATTTGCACAATAACATGAATATATTTAAGACATGTATGATTAATCCATTACTTTTAGTGGTCTATTGACCAAATTACTTCTTTCAATTAATTAATCTGTTTATGTAAGGTTTTTGGTTGAAATGAAAAAGTTAGTGTCACGAGCGAGATTCGAACCCACAACCTTCGGCCTCGTGACATTAAATTTTTCACTTACATGTAATGGATTTAATAAGGAAAACGAAGTATAACTTCCCTAACAGCTCCACGCCAATTCATATTTCGCCGAGAATCGAATCCTGATTACATATTTGAAAAAAATGGCAGAAAGGAGGGAAAATTCGAAAGATAGGCTGAGATGGGAAGTTGGTATCCGAGTGAACTTAACTCGCCATAGCTCAAGTGGTTAGAACAGCGGCGTATTGAGCCGAAGGTCGTGGGTTCGAATCCCGCTCGTGACACTAATTTTTTCATTGCAACCAAACACCTTATATAAAAAGGTATTAGTATAGTGCTTGGTCGCTTTCCATCGATTACAAGATGGAAATTTTACATTGGCGCTGAATAAATCATTGTTGCCAATACACTGGCAGAAACAAAGCAAGAAAAACACATCGCCTGCCCTAAACACAGGGGATTTCCTGGTAACCTTAAACAAAATTGCTAAAATTGGTATTTTTCTGAAGCAACTTTGGGCTCGAAAGGGTTACATTATAAACTGCATTTGAAACTGTTGATGTTTGGCAAATATAACAATCCACACAAGATGAAGTAGATCGATTCCAAGATGGAAATTTTAAATTGGCGCCAAATAAATCAGTGTTGCCAATACACTGGCAGAAACAAAGCTAGAAAAACACATCGCCCGCCCTAAACTCATGGGATTTCCTGGTAGCCTTAAACAAAATTGAATAGGCATTTTTCTGCAGCAACTTTGGGCAAGAAAGGGTTAAATTATAAACTGCATTTGAAAAATTTGATGTTTGGCAAATATAACAATCTACACAAGATGGGGTAGATCGATTCCAAGGTGGAAATTTTACATTGGCGCCGAATAAACCAGTGTCGCAAATCCACTGGCAGAAAAAAATCAAGAAAAACACGTGGCCCCTCACTAAACTCATGGGATTTCGTGCTAACCTCAAACAAAATTGCTTAAGTTGTCACTGTTCTAAAGCAGCTTTGGGAAAGAAAGGATTAAGATATAAACTCGATATGAAACTTTCATGTTTGACAAATATAACAATCGATACATAATGGAGTATTTCAATTACAAGATCGAGATTTTATATTGGCGCCCAATAAATCAGTGTTGTCAATATAAGGGCAAGCGGGAAAAATACCAAGCCCGCCCTAAACTCATGGGATTTCCTGGTAACCTAAACATAATTGCTATAGTTAGCATTGTTCTAAAGCAACTTTGGGTAAGAAAGGATTAACTTATAAACTGCATATAAAAAATTTGATGTTTGGCAAATATAACAATCTACACAAGATGCGGTAGATTGATTAAAAAATGAAAATTTTACATTGGCGCCAAATAAAACACTGTTGCCAATACACTGGCAGAAAAGAAGTAAGAAATACACTTCGCCCCTCTCTAAACTCATGGGATTTCGTGCTAACCCTAAACAAATTGCTTAAGTTGGCACTGTTCTAAAGCAGCTTTGGGAAAGAAATGATTAAAATATAAACTCGATATGAAAATTTCATGTTTGTCAAATATAACAATCGATTCATAATGGTATTTCAATTCCAAGATCGAGATTTTATATCGGCGCCCAAGAAATCAGTGTTGCCAATATAAGGGCACGCAGGAAAAACACCACGCCCGCCCTAAACTACACAAAATACGGTAGATCGATTCCAAAATGGAAATTTTACATTGGCGCCAAATAATTCAATGACAATCTACTCATTCTGTGTTGGTTTGACAAACTTAAGTTAGGCCTGCACTTTCAAGCCAGTTTGTGTATGTGTTATATATCATTGATTATGGTCGTTTTAAATAATTTTTTAATTTAAATTTCCATAAGTACCGTTTTGCTTTCAATACTCGAATCAAGTTTATGCTGTTTTCAAAAGTTGATCTGGTATAAACAACAAAGGAAATTTTAAGAATAT